TTTTCTGATCTGAAATAGCTTATTATTTTGTTCAATCTATTATTATTAATCTTATCAAAATCACAGTTTAACCTTCCAGCGCACGTGCTTGGCAATTTTACATGAGCAGGCATGTGACGTATTTTTTACGACATGCGTTATTTACCGTTTTTGGCACGAAAAACGACAGAAATGAGTAAATACTGATAATAAATTAGTTAAGAAATAAAATATTAATCTTATTATTGCAAAATACAAATGATATCACATTCAAATATAAGTCAATTTTTTTTAAGTTCTATGTGTGAGTGGAAGCATGATGTATTTCATTATAGAAAATTTTAACTATTATTTAATAATTATATTTTAAAATCAAAGCGATTTTAAATTCCTCAAGACATATAGACAATAAAAGGGAAAGACTGTAGGAAAAACTAAGTTAGCATTACTTACTCTGCAAGAAATTTACTCTTCGGTTATAAAACGCACTTTAAACTAATATTAATGTTTTTATTTATCTCTAAAAAATAGAAATAAAAAATAAGAAATGGAATCACTATTGTTCTCCCAAAGGTTTCCTTGTCTTCCTTTTCTTTATCAGAATTCTTGAAGAATCTGAGCAAAATCAGCTAGTTGCACAAGATTTTTGCCTGAAAACCGATATAAATTAATAGCCAACTGTTTCAAATTAAAAATAATAAACGCAATTATAACACAGAATTACAAAATATTTGAGAAAAAAAATTTAAGATTTAAAACACGACCACGGGCGTTTTTAACTTTTATTAAAAGCTGCCACATACACAAAAGCCCGTTAAAAAAAAACAATTCAAATGACTCCGTTGGCACTTCATGATGGGGAATGGTAGAAAGGAGGAATAGAAATTACCTTCAGACGTCTCAGCTTTGATATGCGAAAAATGTGCATAAAAAACTGAATTTGTCATAAATTTTGCACATATGCGCGTGCTGGAAGGTTAAGCTAATGATAACGTTTCTTTCCCAAAACGCTATATATCACTCAATCAGTCAATGAATATTAGAATTTTGAGCACTCTAATAAATAAAAATATAAAGCAGCTTTTTAAAAACTAATGCAGTACGAAGATCACCCAAGAATTCTAGAAATATTTGCATATAAAAACTGATATGTAAGATCCTGACAAGACCTGTCTCCAGATACTTTTAAAAATACCTGAAATGATATATAGCCAGCTATCAAATTTCATGATAATGATTAACTCCTTAGCAAGCTCTTGAGTGGTTGCATACTGATCTTCTTCCACAAGTTCTTGCGACGATCTCATCACCCCAGTAGGCACTTTCCACGCGCTCGACTTCTTGTGTCTAGTCCCTCCCTTTTTTTTAACTTTTGACACCAGACCTTTACAGTGTCACATGATACAATGTTAGTACCGAAAGCTATACATAAGATCATAATCCTTGTTTTTGAACTTTTGGTACAAATCTTCACAGTGTATATGATCAACTTAGTACTAAGCTATAACAGGTTTGAACAACATTCTGCAGCTGACTTTTTGCAACAGAACTGGAAGTAAATGATGGTTCTAATCTGGTAGTGTGATAGTTACATTTCAGACACTTTGTACTTAATGACAACCATATTATTTTTACAAATATCACAACACAGTGTTCTAAAGCAAGTCTTTTTTCAAATGCCAAAAATTATTTGACAAAATACGAGTAAACACACCAACACAAACTGTTTGCACTGACGATATTTGTGGTGGTGGGAGACTCGTTAAAACCCGATATATATGCGCACACACATACAGAAAAAATGAAGCGTCTAAAGCTGAACATTTTCAATACACACAAACTATGTTTTGGGCTTTTTTCCTGGTAATAACTATTTTATAACCATCACTCTTGCTGTAATGATTTTTTTTAACTCCAATGAATTTCATTATTTGGGATCTGGACCATTTTATCATTATAGACATTAAACATTATATCCACAATTGGCTGAATGCTTTGTGTACAATGGTGCAACATCATGCGAAATGGGAACCTCCTGCCAAAATTTAGACTTTTATTTAGTTGAATTCATGTCGTATTACTTATGTTTCAAAGAAGAAATGCTACTTGCCATTTTAACAAATTTCACAACACAGTGTTTTAAAGCTTTTCAGATACATTTCATGCCAATTAAATGCCCTTTTTAATTTCATGCCTGTTATTAATCGTGCATGATTATCTTTAGTGCAAAGTTTATTAATCCCTGTTATTTTCCTTTATTAAAAAGCAATAAATACAACCAACTTTTTCTGTATTTGTTTTAATTTCATGTCTTGTTTTTTTTAAAAAACGATTTTCAAGGATGAAGAAAACACAAATTGGAAGGAAAAAATACCAACAGAAATTTAGATCATGGGGGGGGGGTGTGAGAAAATAATATAAAATACAAGTAATTTTTTTTTGGGGGGAGGCACTTAGTTTCAAGCCAAAGATGCAGGGAAAGTAATAAGCCAAAATGCACCAATATAATGCTGAAAGTGTATGGCATGGTTTTAATGGAAAAGTATCAAATACGTATAGATGAGATTAATATAGAAAAGTATAGTTATGGTAAATACCTCTCTAACTAAAAGATCTGGATCTTCTTGAGTAAAACTATCAAGTTCAGCATCTAAGTCCAATTCTAAAACATCATCATCTTCTAAATTGCTAAAACGAATTAAAATATTAATCACATTAACTGAATTACAAATATTAAATTTTTTGATGCAGAAACAAATGTATAAGCACTTTTTAGATTTCATAAACACAAATGCAAAGTTCTCAGTAAGAATTCTGCAAGAAATCATGACAGAAAAAAATCAGCATGTTTTGCATAATCTATGCTTTTAGCTTGCTTGACCATAGATAAGTAACTGCATTAAATTACTTATGTAACATTTTTGTAAAAGTCCCCAAACATAAATTTCAAAATATATGGTTTCAAAACATCTACCTTTCTCATATTATTAGATTAAATGTTATTAAAAGACTTAGTTTTTTATCTACTTAATACAGTTTGAAGTTGTAAAAAATTATAATTAAAATCAAGCCATTTAAATTATATTAACTATTCAGTATTGGAAGTTTAAACACAAACTTGGTTTAAAACTATTCCCATTAAAAAGCCCGTAAACATTTTATTTTACATATATGTATGAATTAGCATAAAAATATTTGACTTCTTTTATTAAATAAAAATAATAGTTTTTGTTACCAATTCATAAAACTAAACATTTATTGGACAATAACATAATTCCACTCAAAAAGAGTCTCAACTGGAAAAACTTAATTTATTTCTGCATTTCTAAAATGAAGTGATACGAGGAGAATGATCAAAACAGTAACATATATATATATTAAAGCTTATAATCTGTATTTTATAAAATTTCATCACAAACAATAGATTTTAATCCACTTGCAGACAATAACATACACAAAAAGAAAAATGAGAAATTTTGCAATGTACCAATACACAGAAACATGTTTTATTTATGATATGTATGCTATAAAATAATACTTATTGCAAAATATGAGACCAGGTAAAATCACTTTAAATTATTAGCTAAGGCTAGCTATACTAATTAATATATTTTTATAATAATGGACTAAAATGAGAATTTCTTCATTGTGAATTAGCATCAGCCTCTGTTTGTCCTGATTATAAGGTGATACTACTCAGAAGGCTAGATTGCTGAGTATTTTACCTTATTGCTCGTTTACAAACATGCAAGTGTGAAGAATATTATAGGGTCCCCCCTTCCTCAAATTTTGCATACAACTCAGATCTTAAATCTGCTTCAGTTCTAAATCATTTGTTATGAAAGCACCAGTTGAGTGTTGTAAGAGCTTATATTTAAGTATATGTTCATTCAGTGCTGCTAAATGGTCAGTGTAAAACATGTTTTATTGCATCTTTTTCCAAATTTGTGTTTAGTTTGTGGATAGTATTGATAAGTATGATAGTTTGTGGAACATAAATTAATAAAACTGATAGATAAGAGAAACACAAATTAATTAATAAGATTGATAGTTTGGGGAAAATCAATGTATTTATAAGATTGACAGATTGTAAAACATAAATCAAATTGTTATGATTTGTTGACAGAAATGCTTTTTCTGTTATCATTGATATATAACATTCATTTTAGCCACAATGGTCATAAAAGAAGCATTTGAAGATATTTTGCATTTTTCAGTATTTTGGATGTCTTGGCAAATAATGCCTATTTAATATTCTTAATTATAATGCAGTGATTTTAGTCTCATGTGATTGATAGCCTTCTATTTAGTAGCTTGTTTATTTTTGTATTCAGCATATATTTTAATTCTATTAAATTCATTCTTCAATGACCCATAATAATGGACTAATATTTAAAAAAATAAGAAAATGCATTAAATTTATAAGCCATGATAATGATCAAAAGAAAATGCTTAAGACACAATAGAATCATACACTATATAAAGAGGATTAAACCAAATTTAATTTTGTGTGTTCCAATATTTCTTCTGTGCCTCAATGTACCGTATGCTGGGCGAAGTAAAGTAAGTACCAAGTAAAATATATCAATACCTTTCTACCAAGTAGTTTTCATATAAAGATTAGAATTTCAACTATTAAGCTTCTATGAATTCAAATTTAAATGTGAAGTTGTTTCATGAGATTATCCACACTGATAAAGTTGATTACAAGATTATCTAGAAGAGAAAAAAATTTGACTGGATTCAAAATCCTTTAGCATCTTCCCTGTGAGAGAAAAGGAAAAGTTACTAGACTTAAAAAGTGATTGTACCCTAGAAGCTGAGTTTAAGGACATTCCGTTAACTCCCTTCTGGGTAACTACACGAAAGAAGTTTATACCCATTTGCAAAAAAGCTATTAATATTCTTTAATGATTTGGTACAAAATATATGAGTGAACAAATTTATCACAAAATATATGAGTGAAATGTTTTTATATTTATAATGTTTTATGTGCCTTGCTCATTAATAGCACATAACTGTTTTGATCATAGACCCAAATATAAAAAGCAGCATTCACAGAAACAAACTCCATGGTCTTACTGAAAAAAGGGTTTAATACATGTATTAACTGCAGTGAAATACTGCAGATATTTATATTAATACTTAAAATGTTTATTTTGTCATTAACAATGGATTAAGGGCTTTTCATTTACTGCATCCTTGTCTAAAGTGGATATCTATATGGAAATTTTATGCATTATACAGCATAAATTTTTGGAAGAAATCAAGGATCATATTAATTTAATCCCTAATATGTGGAAGAAGAACTCTTAGTTGAAACTCTCTTCATAACAGAAAGATGTTCCTTTATGGTGAGTCTTGAAATTATTTATGCTTGTGAGGCATACTGTGGTGTAAAAAGGTTGGGAAGTACTGAATTATAAGTTATAGATATTATCAATTTCAGAAAGCAATTCTTTCTACCCCTCATACAATCTTACACTGGCGTTTTAACAACAACGTCAGAGTCTAAATTGCTTCCAGAGACCAGAGACTGCCTGATTTTAAATATGCCACCATCCTTTTATTCCTGTCAGATTGTCTGTCGTCATACTTCTAAAAAAATGACATTCCATCTCAGAGATTCTTCCAAATGACACATTAGTACTGTAAAAATCTTTTATCATAAAGAAATGCAATAGCATAAATAGTAGTGTATTTTGTGTGTCGCAACTGCCCTACCAGCATTCAAAACCAGATTTATAAAATTTGCTTGCATAATGATAACTATATGTTTGCCTTTTAGGTTAGGTTATTTGAATATGGCAAAGCCAGAGCGTATCTGCCTAAGAGGAAGTATGGACTTTATTAAAGGACATTCTGACGGAAACTAGCTTGTATTTACATTACACATAGGAAAAAACCACACATACTCAAAATAAAAAAAAAAAAAAAAAAAAATTAAAATTAAAAATTTTAAAAAATGCAGGTAGCCTAGTCACCTAGGTTTGAAACCAAGCTAAGTGGAAATAACTACACTCAGTGGTTTTAACCTCTGATTAGCAGGTTTGTCTTCTACTCCTTTTACAAAAAATCTGATGTGTACACCACATGACTTCCTTGTATGGAATATTAAATTATATGCATTTTTTCTTGCATTTCATTTAAACTTATTGGATTGAATTAAATCTACTTCGCCGACAGTGCATAAACCACAATAGAATAAATGCATTCTTTAAAATTCACTCTAGTATTTGTTTACCATAGCGACACTCCGGCGCTAGATTCACTTAAGAGTATTAATAATTATATAACAGTTAACTTATATAATAATTATATAACGGAAACTAAGTTAACTGTTATATAATCCAATAATTATATCAGAGTTAACTTATATATTTCATTCATATTATAACTCATAATGCACAAAATTTATATCATTCAATAAATAGAATTATCTAATCGTTGCCTAATGTTCTATTCAAATACTATAATAAAGCTAGAATGATGTATAAAAGAAATTAAGCAAACAAAACAAAAAAGAAACAGTTTTTCACAGATGATTGAGTTATCGTTTAATTAATTCAGTTCTCACTTCGCGAGAAGGCAAAAATAAATAAAAACTCAAAATATCTACATTAAAAATTACGAAGTAAATCTTAAACACTTATTTCCTTGAAAAAATTCCAGAAAGAATTAAGCACAATTTAATTGGCAATAATAAATGAATGCGTTATCTTTGTTGTTGCGAAGCTAAGTTTCTCTAGATTGGCAACAAATCCACTAGTCTCCTGTTTCAAATGTAAACATCAATGGCCGCCATAAAAAAAGGCTTAGCGGCACTTAGATAACTTTAAAATTGTTGATAATTCTAAAAATATTGCACACAGATTTACTAAAGGCATAAAAGCCTTAACCGGAAGATAAAATCAACATAATACAATCATTTTTAAAGCAAAAAATGTATAATTTACAAACATATAAGGGTAAAGAAACTGAGATCACTGAGCAGGGTAACAGAGTGGATATATATATAAATATATTTATATATGTTTGGTGCAGCCGATTGCAACCAAAATACGAGGTGCACATCTACATGTTATAGCAGTCCTATATACAAAATTTCAATGTTCTGAGGCTACTCGTTTTTGAGTTATGCGAGATACGTACGTACATACGCCATGAAAAATTCTCTTCAGAATTAATTTTAAAGCAGTCTTATAATTTTTTTTGAAGGAAAAGAGTATTTTATTCTGTCCTTACGTACAGATATCATGCAAAAACATCATTAAATTGCATTCGATAGCGGTCAAAATGGATATTTTCGTTGAAATATACTGCCTAAAACTTTTCGCGATTATAATACTTCCTTTTTACTTCGTACAAGGAAGTAAAAATAAACAAGATTGAGCAGTTACTTTGTATTATGTGCAAGAAGATAATTGTGTTCTCAGTATATTAGTTAAACTTTCTTCCATGTCATTTTGTTATTTTTTAGTGGTAGTCTCTCCAATATAAATATGATCCTCATAACATTATTTCCTTTTTCAGCATGGGAGAAAAACTGCATCTCCCCCCCCCACATAAAACCATTGTGACTGCTTTGTTGTAAAGGAAAACTTGCTCAAGGTATCACAAACTTTTTGTGCACTCTTTCACTCTGAAAACAGCCAGAATGTTTTAGAACCTCCTGAATTATTTATTGCTAATCAGAAATAGTGGTAGCATTCTTAAAGAAAATATAGAACACAATAATCTTCTAAATAAAACATAAATATCTTTAAAAATCTTATCATAAATATATATTCTTGTTCACTTATTTGATTCTTACCTTAGTTTGTCAGATGCTTCAATATCAGCAACTTCATATAATTCTGCATTGTTTTCACCAATATCTACAGGATTGCCATCTTCATCAATGTACTCTAATTCTTGTTCTAGTAAAAGATAATTCGGGATAAGAACTGAATTCTAATTATGACAGATAAAATTTATTCTTTAATTTAATATAATACTTTAAAAAGCATCTTTTAAATGACTAAAGAAAATAAAACCTTTCAAAGGAATTTACATTTTTATACTAACATTATATTTGATCTGTTACTAAATACCTGTCAGACGTAATTAATAGTTATGCTTAAAAAAAAAAAAAAAAAAAGGCAACGTTTCTGTTCCCCCCACTTCCTTCAAGTAGATTTCTCCTGCATAACAGAAATTGCCTTCATTGGACATATAAGGTAATCAACTCACTTTTTTTTAAATAAATGAAATATATATACTTTAATCTTCCTTTCATTCATTATAAAAAACATGATTTACGAATTATTGATTTATTACAATGTATTAATTATTCATTCATAATGATAATTTATTTATTAATTTCTAAAGATTTATATGAAATATTAGCATTTTTAGTAAAGATTTTTAAAACAAATTTTAAAATACCATAGCTGCCAAGCCCAGAATATGAAAAACGGGAGTATGTGGGAGGTGTGCAGTGGCACCATTTCAAAAGAACTCCAAAATGATCTAAATTCATTTTAGAGCACATGTATCCCCTCAGAAAATTCCAAATCTTGTAATTAAAAGTAAATCTCATTTACCTGACTGGTCTTTCTATTGACACTGGCACTGCTCTGAAGTCAATCATGAGTCATTATACGCTACGATGTATAATTATGCCAGAAAATTTATTACATTTCATTTTACAGGAAGAAACTTGAAGATTTCAGTGACAAATTGCATCACTATGAAAATAATCGTGGATAACGGTTATAGTAAAAGATAGGAAGTTAGTTGCTCAGCGATAAAAGCTCTCACTGCAGTTGCATTTTTCAAGATGACTGCCTCTAACTTACAGACTATAAAATCAAACAATAACAGCTAAACTCCAAAGTCAAAAACAGGATGGAGATGGATGAGGAATGGCCTGCCACCTGACGGCAAGAATGGTTCATCCTCCCACCTTTAATTTTGGTCTTGAAATCAAACATAAAGGAAAAGGGGAAACATTAATAATCTTGTTATAATAAATAAACAAGAATGGGAAGTAAACAAAATAATCAATGAGTTCATAAGTTCAGTCTAGTTGAATCTTAACGAGTTAGCTCTTTCTAGTAACTCACAGTTGCTGATTAAATCTCGTAGCGGAGTTGGTCTTCTTGACAGCACGGGGATCCGTACTCATAGATAAATCAATCATCAGGCCATCTCTTCAAAGTTGTTCAAGGAGGTATCTCTTCAAAGTTGTTCAAGGTGGTACCTTCATTCCAAGTAAAGCATATTTCGTTTGGATGTTATAACTTTCCTCAGCAGAAATATCCAGAGTATATAGTCTTTGTCCTAAGATGTAAAATTCATCTTCCATCTTAATTTTAGCTACTGTAACTACTCCATCTTCAACAGGGTACATTCCACAATCCTAGCTAAAGACCAACTGATTCTTCTTTGGTTATCATGATCTAACAGAAAAATATATGCTACAGTAATTTTTTTTTGTTGCTAAGTTTCCCTGAAGCACGGTAAAAGTTTTGGAGGTTGGAAATGAATCTGTATATCCACAATTTAAAAAATTACATCTGATGCTTTAATTCTTAAAGTAAGAAGAAAATATCTTTCACAAAACTTTTCCATGTTTTCTATGATCAGGGCAGAAATGATTGATTTCTTATTTTTCAAGTTCATGATTTGCATTTTAGGGCAGAGCTTGTGCTATGGCCATTCACTGATGGAGGTCTTCAAAAAATCATGACCCTCCCACAAGATTTGAGTAGAACTTCAACTAAGTCATCACGTAATTTTTGGTTTTTTTCAGCTTCAGTATCAAATTTTGCATGTAAATCTTTATATAATTTCTCCAAAACTTTTACAGCATAGCAATAAGCTTCGTTTGCATTGTTTTCAAAATGGAATTTTTGTTCTCACGTTTCGATATCTGATACTGAAGATTGCATTTAGTTTCTGACTCAGTTCTCTCCAAATTATTTTAAACAACTTGTAAATTAGACATCATTCCTGATTGATGCTGCTGTTCCCTCGCACCAGATGCTGTTTTGCACTTCTCAGTAATTCACATTCAGTTTTTAAGATTGAAATAGTTACTTCAGATTTTCCAACTTTTTTTTTTTTTTTTTTTTTTTTTTTTTTTTTAAAGCTACCATTAGATCCTGTCTTAAACTGTTTATTGTTTGTTGGGGCTGGTATTATCATTATGCTGATGATTCTTTCCTTTAAATGAGACATATTTTTACTTATAAAGTTTCCAAATTGGACTACAAAATATGTACCCTCTCTTCAGAGTACTCATTCTGTAAAGCAAACCTGGAACTCTGAACACTTAAGACTGAAACTTTATCCATAACTACGTTTAAAATATCACCCATTTTCTCCTCTTAAAATAATGGTACTTCAGTTCTTGTTTCTAAAACTCTCTTCTGGCTCAGAAATCCTTTATCTTCTCATTTTCCTTGAGCATAAATCAGTTTCTCCATCATCTATCTATATACATATATTTACCTACCTACCTATATATATATATAAGAAAAATAAAGAATATGTAAAAGATTAAATTAGCAGCATAAATTAATTTCCCTTCTCTATTCTAAAAATAGCAACATCTATTTGCACTGCGTCATTTTGAGAAAAATCTTTCATATGACTCTTACGTAATTCTGGTGATGTAAATTGAACTAAAACTCAAGCAAAAAATAATAATTTTACAGCAATATTAACTGTTCAATCAGAAAGCTTTGAGAACCAAAACTAATTGAATTTGACTTCAGATTTCATCCTGAACATTACGCACTTCTTTCTACGCTTTGCCTTAGCTGGACTGCAGTCTGTCTGCTGCTACTTTCTTGCTACAAAATTATCAAAGATGTAAGCCCTTTGGAACAGGCACATTTAATGTGCCGACTTGTGTGCAACCGCTACATGTTGCTTAAAATAAAAGTGAAGATTTAATCTGTTTTCGCCTCCAATTTCCTGGTCATTGCTTCCGAGACTGAATATATTACAATTGAGTCATTATGGATCATCTACGCCATCCAAATACCTATGTCATCCAGCAAGTTGGAGCGCAATGGAAACAGTAGGGGGTTTGCACACCCTTTTCGAGTTTCCTCGTCCCCAAGGAAGACAGCTTTGTACCAGGTCTGCTTTTTAAATTTTTTTCTCTTAAACGCTTTTCTAGGTCTTGGCAAGACCCATGCTACTAGTCGTCTTATATATTATTTTTTCCTTTTTGATTTAAATATAATTTACGGTACCTTTTACAAAGTTTCAATTCTTTAAGCTCACAGGTCCAACCCATAAGTTCTTATTTGTTGACTAATAGCATATCGCTATTTATTTTTTCTGTACATCGGAATTGCCTTTTCATTATTTACACCTTAATGTGTCAATATATGCGGACGCGTCGGGAAATTGGAACAGAGAATTGAGACTAAGGTTTTTGATATAGTTTATTTAAGTCATTAAAAATTTTTGTAGCACAAAGTTTCAATTGTCTGTTTCGGCAGAACGCGTAATGGAGTTAGCTTGGTTCGAAATTCATTTTAAAAATTTCCTTTGACAAGCCAAAATGAACTTTGAATTGGACTAATTAACCATTTACCGCTTCTTAATTTTAATATTTTTTTATATTTTACCTTGATCAATTGATTAGTATTTTACTGTGTTTTAAAATCTACTTTATTCATTTAGCATTATTTTACCTCATTCAATTGATTTGTTTTTTTACTGTGTTAAAAATTACTTAGTTAGTTTAGCATATAGCTTACTTTTTATTAATTTTACTTGTAAATATTCAAATATTGTATTTTTCTCCTCTTTCACACTTTTCATAGCAACTAAATATGCTTATGTTGAAGTTTTCACGGAACCACAGTTTTTGGTAACTTTTTGCCGTGCGCACTAAAATTTATCTTCTATTTTCCTTAATTTTGCAGCACAATGCACAAAATTTTGACCAAAATTGGTCTTTTTTCACTTGTTCTTACAACTTAACTTTAAATTATCTATATACACTCATGTCCAAAATTATCTTTACATACCCAAAAATGATGATATTCAATGAAATATCGAATCAATGTGATCCGTATTTGCAGGGAATGTGTGAAAACCAAGCCTAATTAGCATTATCCAATCAAAAGTAATCAAACGGTTTGTGATATGCAAATCTAGGCGTTACGTCATCCAAGGGCGAATCAAGCGCTTTGCGCAAACTGAATATTTGAGTGAATTTCTGCAACATAGCGTTTGATTTCAGTGTGTAGGGACTCAAAGCGGTTTGTTATGGCTTCGAAGTATCATTTGGAAGAATCTGTAAAGTGGCGAATTATCGGCTGTTTAGAAGCAGGGCAGTCAATCATGGAAACAGCCACATGTCTGAATTTTCAAGACAGACAGTCCTCTAAGCTATGGAAACAGTTTCAAAATGATGGAAGTGTTGTAAGGAGGCCTGGACAAGGTCGGAAACGAATGACAACTGCTTCTGAAGATCGGTATCTGGCATTAACTGCCCGTCGTAACAGAAAGGCTACTGCTCGCCAGTTAAGTTCAGAGCTTGCAGCCACCACTGGAACTGTTGCATCACAGCAAACAATATACAGAAGGCTTAATGAAAAAGGCCTTTATGCCAGAAAGCCAAGGGTATGTGTTTTACTGTCTTCACAGAAAAAGAGGGATCGCTTTAATTGGTGTAAAGAACATCAGAACTGGACTGAACATCAATGGTCCCATGTTCTCTTTACTGATGAGTCGCGGTTTAGTTTAACTGGTGATTCTAAACGTGTTTACATCTGGAGGGAGTCAGGAACACGAAATGATCCCTCGAACATTGTGGGAACGTGACCGTTGACCGTTTCGGTAGTGGTGTGATGGTATGGGGTGGAATAATGATCGATGGACGTACGCCCCTACACGTGTTCAGCAGCGGATCTGTGACAGGCCAGATATATCGAGATGAGGTCTTAGATCCTTATGTAAGACTTTTCAGGGGTGCATATGGACCTGACTTTTTATTTATGGATGATAATGCCCGTCCACATCGAGCAAACCTCGTTGATGAATTCCTTAAAAGTGAAGACATTAAGCGAATACCTTGGCCACCAAACTCTCCTGACCTTAACCCGATAGAGAACTTATGAGACTGCCTTGGAAGAGCAATTGCACGTATACATCCTCCTCCTAGAGATGAAAATGTTTTGAAGATGGCATTGCTGGAAGAGTGGATATTAATTCCCCAAACTGTGGTTAACAACGTTATTTCCAGCCTTAAAACACGTTGTGATATGTGTGTACAAGTCAGGGAAGATCATATTCCATATTAAATTTGTAAGACTTAATTCTTTTTCTGAATCATTCCTTTTTTTCTTAAATCTCTTTGTCACACTTTATTACCATTTTTATTGTTTCATACTACAATTTTATATCATATGAGGTGATCTTCAATTTTTTCTTTTGCATTTATGTGTCATCATGTTATGTATGATTCCACGAAAATTCATTAAATTATAAGTCATAGTCTCTGAGAAATCCGTGAATTTATGCATGTAAACATAATTTTGGACATGAGTGTATATAAAACTGATATTGTGTAATTCATTCCACATATTCATAGCTCTAACAAACACTTTTTCCCTTTGATGTTTTGGGTTGTTTTTAGCTTTATGATAGCTGTATTTGTTTTGTAGTGCACAGCACATTCCTCTCCTTCCCAAATGTAAAAAGGTTTTCAGAAACTGAAATGTATCAAGAGGGAACAAAGTAATTTATAAATAAAATGAGGGGTTGCTCAGGGGATAGTAATTTAGGAATACAGGGACTTTACGCGAAACTGTCAAAGAGAAACGATCCGAATGTAAGAGACTCACTTATATATATCATTTTTAGGCTGTCAATTCGATTCATCCTTGAAATTATGCTAACATTTATATACAAGCTTATGCAGTGTCCCACACTTTTAATTTTATCTTTGCAAACCCACAAATGGAATAATAATAATAAAAACCTTTTACTCTTAGTTCACTTAATCAAAGCTATACTCTTCCATAATCGACTATGACTTTTTCTCACTATGACTGCATGTGCAAACTCTTCTGCTCAATCACTTTTAAATTTACATCATTAGAAAACTTGTGAGCCCTATCAATTCATGTTTGAAGGTTGCCATGAAATAATAAAATGATAAACAAATATAATTTTTGTCCAAAATACTTGCATTTCAAGATGTGTAGGCCTATTTGGTTACAGGACAGCAGACAAAGACTATCTGCCTAATGTAAGAAATGCCTCAGCAGAAGACTTTCTACAGGAACTGCCTCATATTCCTATTATGCATGGGGAAAACCCTGAAATTCAGCCTGTTCACCTGGTTCAGGGTGAACTACCATTATTCAACTGTCTTAATACTTGGTCACTGGTGGGAGGGTCTATCTCAAAATGTTAGTACAGTGCAAAGTCTTTAATCCGGACATCCATAATCCGGACCTCAAAGCTACAAACTTTCTGTACATGCGTAGCTTTTACGCATGCGCATAATACGTTTACGCATGCACATTTAATGTATAACGGACAGTATAAGCTAGGCTAAAATTACCTAATTATCTATTTCAGTTAATGTTGCAGACTGCATTGTTCCTTAATCTTCTAATTGGAGCCGGCTTATTATTTTTTGCAGACTGTTAGAGCAATTTTATAAAAAGTAAGCTTGAACTTTTGATTATGTCAAAAAGAGTTTCCGATTCTGGAGCTACCAAAAGATCTACGAAGCGAAAGCATGTTTCGATGTCCATCAAACAAAAAGTGGAATTGCTGCAAAAAATGGTTAAAAGGCATGAAGAAAGTGACAGAGAGGTTAGTGAAAACGAAAAAATTTCGATTGACAAGTTAGTCGGTATTCTCGACACAGCAATTGCAGGACTTGAACAGCGGAACTGAACAAGAAATTATGTCTGCTTATAGAATTAAAGAGAAAGTATTAGCACATAAAACGAAGCAATTTAAACAACTTACATTGAAAGAAATGTTTAATAAAGTAAACAAATAAATATATTAAGCTTTTTTTTTTTTTTTTTTTTTTGTAAATTTTGATACCCTTTAGATTATAATTGCTCTTTGCTTCATAAATTACGGTTTCATATTTTTAATTTTATAATTTCTGCATGCCATCTTACCACATTTAAATTGATGATCTATAATCCAGAAAAACCCCTAATCCGTAATCGCCGAAGTCTCGACGAGCCTGGATTAAGACTTTGTACTTAAGCTATTGGTCTTAATAATAAGCATTCTGAATTAGTATTTGAAAAATAAGTGTCATGATATGCACACTTAAGCATGCATAATTTTATGTATTACAAAAGTTAATATGAATTAAACATTATTTTCTAAAACTTGATGTTTCAAAAATTCTGCAAAACAAATCAGTTTATAACAATTTAATATAAAAAAAACTGGATACTTCTGAGCTGTCTGGAGCTAGGAACTAACTACAAGAGGTGTCAATATCTAGGAAAAATATGAATTATTATTACTGCACTACACAGTGAAACTTAAGGACAAATCTTTGATAGGGAAGTTGATATCTATTGACTTAATAAGCAGGAAGCTTTGTATACATTGCAGCATTATGCCTAACTCATTAGATATCCCTTTATATTATCAATACCTTTTTAAATGCATATTTAAAAATATTCAGTATTCTTTTTTAAATATTTCACTCTATTGATTAATGCTTTGAGAATTTTTACAGCTTTGACTTTAGAATTTAATAACTAAAGTTACCCTAGCATAATACTTTTTAATTTTTACTATAAAACTGATTTTTGAAGATACTTTCTGAACATTTAAGATGTATTTTGCTTTCGATGGATTGAACTTTTCTGAAGGGATACAAAATTAAAAATACCAATAAAGATTAAAAATTAATGCTACATTTGAAATTAATTAATATGACAATAACATTCTTGGAATACTGCTTCAAGAAAACTTTTTTTTTTCCCCCGTTAGAGTGATTCCTTTAATCTTTATATACCTAGATACAATATTGACAAATAACCCATTACTAGAGAAAATGGTGATATTTAATGATAAAGAATTTGGAAGAAGCATATGAAAATTATTCAAATGGCTTTCACTATCAGTAATTCTACATGTACTCATTTCCAGTTTTCAACTATTGGCATTTTTTTAGCATTTCTGACAGATGAGAAATAATGGTAACCCATGTGAAAGAATGCATATTAATCATAATGTGCAAATTAGCATGTGTTTTAGATTAATCTTTTCAGGTAAAAAAATTGGTCCTCATATGTTCTTTTTATTGTATTCAAGTTCTAATTTTTTTTATACACTTGGTCCTAAAATGAATTATATAATATACATCTGAAGGATTTCCTTGCAGTGGGAGAAGCTATGACAAATTTTCCACAAAATTACAGTACTTTGCCACACAATTATTTAAGAAAACAACTGCTTTGAATCTATTTTTAAAAACAATCATCACAAAATTCCTACCAGAACAAAAGCTCACTTGCAAGTAGATTTTCTTGACTGATTTTTGGGATAAATAGCTAATTGAAACATAAAATTTAGATGTAATAGTATGTATAATAATTTTAGCAGTTACTAGGCATCATTCTTTCTTTTCTTTTCTTTTCTTTTTTTTTTTTTTTAAGCATAAATAGGTCACCAGTCTGTGGTAAGGTTATGCTAATATCTAAGTACTAAAATCTTCGTATTTTTTGCTTGTATAAAAACACACTAGATATTTCTGTGCTATAGCTATACAAAATTTAAAGCTCATACAAATTCAACATACCAGCTCTTTCACCTTCAGCTTCTTCATCACTCAAGCCCAATAAGGCAACTTCTTGATCTATATCTAAATCATCCAAACCATCATCCTATTAATGAAATGAAATATACAGATAACAGTTTAGTGAAGCCATTACACCCATGAACGTTTATGAAGTCATACATATGATTTAGTTAAAAAAATGTTATCCTTTCAAATATAAAAGAATTTTCTATTATGGAATTTCTATTATTAAATTTTTAATTTATTTCTATTATGGAATTAACTATTTTTTTCCCTATTATACTTTATTTTTCAATACTATTAGAAAAATCTTCTGCCTTACCATTTTTTTACAAGTAATATAAATATGAACTTGTGTACTCCTGAATATGCCTTAATTAACTAAGCAATCAACCAGAACTTTAATTTAAAGTTTTTAATGGTATTTTCAACTTTACTGAATAAAAAACAAACAACAATGAAAAAAAAAAAAAAAGGGATTTTCCTACAACTAGCATTTCTTCAGTCTTTGTTGCTGAATGTTGGTTTGAAGATTTTTCTGTAGTCTAATAAAAATGGATGTATGGAATGTCTGACATCTTTACACAAACTATGAAACGCCTGTGTTATGTATTACATACATTCTACATTACTTGAGTATATACAGGCATTATACAGAATAACATACACTTTTTATGGACAGCCTGAAAAGACTAATATAAAAATAAAATCATCTAACAGCAGCATGCTTATCTTGCATGGACATTAATCCCCTCTATTTAATTTAAAACAGAATGGGCTAATGTTTATTGTATATATCTACCAAACAGATACTGAAACACTAATGGCAGGGTATTCAGTTTCTCTGACTGTACTGAATACTGAAGGCCATATGGTTTAGCTCATGATGGCAAAAATGTTTCTAACAGAGCCTATTTTATTATGCCTACCACATAGCTGGCAGAGCTAAATTTGTATATTGAATTACTCACTTTTCTACTTTGACAGTTTGCCTTTTGATGCTACAGAAAATATGTCCACAAAATATGTGAAATAATGTCTCTCTCTCTTACTCAGATGTCTACTTTTTCAGTATTTAATGGATTTCTTAGATATCCTAGACAATGTCTAATTGCACAAATTTTCAGAAACATACATTACATTTAAATAAAATGTTTCTAAAGCTAAGGAAAGCTAAGAATTAAAAGTGTTGTCTAAATATTTTCAGTATATGGTAAAAATAAGGTTGGTTTTCAATCAGTTTGCTGAAAAGTCCTGGCCATCTCAGTAACATAACATGAAAGTTTATTTTATGTGAAACAAAAATACTGAAAAAAAAAAAAAAAAAAAAAAATTAAGCACCATTTGCATTTATGGCCTACTAACATTTAAGATGATTTCTGATTCTGCCCTGTAAAAAATGGTATATATATATATATATATATATTGTTACGAAATGTCCAGCTGCAATAAGATAGTTTCCCCACAAAGCAGGTTTAGCGTTGCCAAAATATGGCTAGACTCATGATACTCTCACGATTAACGATCGACTATGAGACACACTGTTCCCCGTACTAGCAGGGTTTATACAGTCAAAAGTTGTTAATTCGGACACCCATAATCTGGAATGATCTATAATGTGGACCTCAAAGCTAAAAACTTCTGCGCCGCCGCACATGGCATAGGCGTTGGGCGGGCGTTTTATAACGGATGGTATAAGCTAAAATGATCTAGTTCAGTTAATGTTGATGATTGCGCGTTCCTTAATCTTCAAATTATTTATTATTTTTGCAGACTGTAAAAGCAATTTTATAAAAGTAAACTTAAACTTTCGATTATGTCAAATAGAATTTCCGATACAGGAGCTACCAAAGGATCTACAACAAAAAGAAGAAGAAGGAGAAAAAAAAAAAACAAAAACGAAAAAGTTTCGATTGACAAGTTAGTCGGTATTCTCGGCACACAGCAATTACGGGACTTGAAACAGCGGAACTTGTAACTGAACAAGAAATTATGTCTGTTTATAGAATTAAAGAGAAAGTATTATCCGAATTATAAAACGAAGCAACTTAAACAACTTACATTGAAAGAAATGTTTAATAAAGTAAACAAATAAATATTAAGCTTTTTTTTTCTAAATTTTGATACCCTTTAGATCATAACTGTTCTTTATTTCATAAATTACGGTTTCATATTTTTAATTTTAGAATTTCTGCATGCCATCTTACGAGATTTAAACTGATGATCTATAATCCGGAATCACCGAAGTCCCGACGAGTCCGGATTAACGACTTTTGACTGTGCTTTTGGGCTGCCTTCGAGAACATTCTGGACCAAAGAGGTAAGAATTCATTCTAGGATGTTATCCATCCGTCTATGCATATCGCCAATTTTGTCACCACACGAGCAATTTCCTGCCAAATATGGCAACCCTACCTTCCCTTGCCATTTTCTGCCAAAATTAAACCTGCTTTGCAGGGAAGCTATTTTACTGCAGCTGGACATTTCATAAAATATATATAATTACAAAACAATTCTTTTGAGTTTCAATTTCTGGTCTTTGTGAAATATTATCTCTAAATTTCTTACTTTATATGCAGTGGCTCCCAAAAGTGTTTGTACACTTATGATTTTCATTGAAATAAGGCTCTATCCATTAATTAAAAGTAAACTTTCTGAATGAGATTTTAATAATAAGATCTATAATCTATTCGTAACAAAAATATATGAAAATTTTAAATATAGCGAAACTTAATTTTAAGACAGGAAAATAAAAAAAGGACAAACATTTTAGCACAAAACACTCTAAAACATTCGACACTTCTAAAAAATCTTGACATATTAGAATATTCATTTTTCGTTAAATAATAGTATAGGATATCCCCCCCATCCCAACACATTTTAAGCATCTGGGATAGGGACTAGTTTTTTTGAAATTATAAATGGCACCATCTTCCATCATGAATTTAGAGTTCGCTTTTCGTTTGATGCGTGTTTTCGTATTCTAAGCCCAGTTCTTTCCAAATGTGTTCTATGGGGTTTAAATCTGGCGACTGAGGTGGTGTTTTCAAAACCTGTGGACAATTACAGAGATACCACAGGTGAACGTTGAGAGCTGTATGCTTAAGATTGTTATCATGATTAAAAATAAAGTTGTTTCCAATATCCAAATTTTGGGCTGATAATTTTAAATTGTCTCTTAAAATATTTAAATAAAGAGAATGATTCATTATGCCATCAATAAATATCATATTACCTAATCCTGATGCTGCAATGCACTCCCATATAAGAACACCTCCACCGCCATGCTTAACTGTTCCAACTAAGTTCTTAGAATGAAGTTCCTCATTTTTTCTTCCATGCATATTCGACCATCGGAACCAAAAATGTTAAATTTGCTTTCGTCAGCAATAGGACATACTCCAGTACATTTGGGTGTATTTATCATTGATTTTGCAAATGAAAGCCTAAGCTTCTGTTTTTCTCACAACAAAATTGTTTTTACGGGCAGAACGCCTTCTCTGAGAACTCGACAAACATTTTCAGGTGAATTGAAGTAGAAAACTTTGCATTAATTCTGCAAAAACTTTTAGAGCGTTCACGTGGGTTTTACACAAATTTCTAATAATAAATCTCTCATCACGTTTAGTTAACTTCTCGGTCGCTTTCATATCTTGTTCTCAATCCGATTCTTCTTTAAAGCCTTTTATCACATACTGCCACTGTAGAATGGGATAAATTAACTAATTTATTTGAATTGATTTACCACTACTTAAAAATATCAATTTTCAAATGCTGTTTGTAATTTCAATGCGACCGATTGTTCAATAATAAATATAATATTATGAAGTAAGCAATAAAAAATTAACGCAAACGATTTTTTAATGCCACAACAAAAAATTAAAAAAAGGGCAAACGATAATTCTAATTTCGATTATCCAAAAATATTTCAGTGTACGAAGATTTTGTGAGATAAAATGTTTGTCATTTTTTTATTATTAATTTCTTAAAAATAAGTTTTGCTATATTTAAAAATATTTCATGTAATTTTTACAAATAGATTACGACTTAGCGCAAGATGTTTTCCAGACCAAAATTAGTTTTCCAAAATTGTAATTACTACCTTGCTTGATATATATATATATATACTCATTAATGTGTGTGTGTGTGTGTATATATATATATATATATACACACACATTAGTGAGAATAACATGGTCAGCTGAATAAAAACAGATTGAAACAATTATCAGCAGGAAGATTGATCTCATAGCTTTTTTGAATATAGCTTCTGATAAAATTTGATGGCCTAATAAAATAGTAGAAATTGTCAAAAACTTTTCTACGAAGTAGTTTGAATACTAATTATTTATTAAACAAAGAGGAGTTAGTTCCTTTAAAATTATGTAGGAATGATAGGCATTACTTTGCAAGATCTCTGCCAACTTTCATAACTCAATACATAGTCAACAGCCGGCAGGATAGTACATAAGTACATAAAAAGTTTAATAAATACGAGTTGAAATTACAAATTCATTAAAAATGGTGCCAATCATTCCGGCAATAGAAAATCCTTACTGGAGTTTAAAAGCAATAAAATTGTCACTTCCTTTGTGAACTTTTTACTGCCTAAATGCAGTTAAATATTAAGATAAATTGTGTAATTAAGCATATAGTTCCATAGTATATTTTATTGCACCACTTTGCGAATGTCTTTCAATATTTTAAGTATGCACATCAATTTAACCAGTCCCATAACATTGAAAATACTGAATTACTGCACTTCTCCAGAACAGCCAGCAATTCAATATTCCAGTCTAGAATTTTTTCCCCAAAATGCACGAGAAAAACAGATAAATATCAATTAATTTATCTAGAATGTAAACAGCATATGTAAAAAATGTGTAGTTTGTTTAGCATAAGAAGTGTGGCACCAATTTAAGCAAAAACATATTTTTGAAGAATTTTCCTGATCAAAATAAAAATGGCATTTTAACAATCAAGCCTAGTTGTGGTTTTTCCTTCAGTCATCTTGCACAGCAGCTTGCCTCAACCACGACTGTAGAGCAAATTGATTTCCTCTTCCACAGAAACTACAACATCACG